ACGCAATATGTGAATCGACAGGCGAAGACGAAACGATGGAAGACATTAAGTACCAATGCACAGAAACAGACAGGCTGCAGGCTAGAAGACACATCAACCACAAATTCAAAACGTAAAACTTTACATTGAGGCACAGGGACGGAACCGATAAAATGACAGAAGAGCGAAATACACATGAAACACAGGGCATTGACGACAAAATATGCAGCAGTAGGAGGCATATAAAGATTAGATTAAGTAGATAGAGCAGGGACCTTGATGTAGGAATTGGATAGGATTTGAGTCTTCTTCCCCCTTATATGGATGGGAAAAGGTGTTTGTTTGACAGCGGTTTTACGGTTGCGATTAGCGGCAAAACTACTAATAAGCCGAGTCCAGACGAATAAGCCGAACTCTGTAACGTAATATGTGCATTTAATTGTTCGTACATCTGGATCTCATCTTGAGAATCAGGGTACGTACAACGTAACAGAGTGCAGTGCCACAGTGTCACCACAAGTCGCACGCAGCTCGCCCTCGATTGTTGATATAACTGCGAACCATAAAAAAGAGTTCAAAGAAATGACACGCTTTAATGGAGCAAATTTGGAAGAAAGGCCAAGCATTTCGTTGAATTAATCTCCAGCATGTGCTCAAAACTTTGTCACAAGATCCGGATCCGCATAGTTATCCCATCTCGTGCCCAAGCGATCAGAACATACCCCTGGCTCACAACCATCTTACTTTAGGAAGTTCGGTTGCACGCTTGAATCCGACTTAAAACAGAAACTTCGAAACAGAAATACACGGGTCAAAGTTATTTTATTCAAAAAGTTTTTTCTTCAAATAACTCACAAACAACTTGGGGATTTCTACCAAAATTAGGCATTCAGGACTTTCGAGGGCGACAAATTTTATTAATAAGCTAGGTTTAAGCGATACCACCGAAAGTCAAGGCCCGACTGTTCTGACGTCACAAGTAGGCCGGTTCGGTCTCCTCTCACTGCGAAATGGTCCTCGTGATCTCAGAGCAGTCGGACGGAGTAAGGCACCTCATAGAGGATGCCACGTGCAGCAAATGATTCGCTTTAACATAGCGTTTTTTAATACTGCCAAGAAACAACTGACACTCCACTGTTACCGCAGACCTCTCCCTGCGGACACAGCTTAAGAAGAAGACGTGGACCAAAAGCGGTGACCAGTTCCTGCACCACATCGAGTACCATGATTGGCGGCTAAACGTAGGAATACGATCCCTTTAATGTGCATGCGTTAAATGCAGCTTTTTAGCTGCTGATCAGCTGGGTGAACAGTAGAGGGAGCTATCTTTCTCACTCTTTTAATATATGCTGTTGATGTTCAGGTTTCGTATTTAAAATTCTACCGTAATTGAAATCTATCATTATGTTGCCTATTGACCTTCCAAAATTGGAGCCTGTTTCTTCTGCAATTCTGCCTTTACAGCATATGTCGTGCAAAGGCAACATCAAATCCCAGTACCTACTACCCCCTAGTACTTTCATATTAATGATAAATGTTATTATACTTATTTCTTGTGCCTGGATTTCGTTTCATCAAAAAGAGCAGATTTCATAGCGTTTTTAGTACAAGCATTGACTGTAGTACACGTTTCTGTATTAAATGATGCCCAAACTCTTATTTTTTTTAATATTCAATAACCACTTTATCGTCCAAGCTGTGAGCTTTTGCGGATATAATTGCTTTGATATTCAAAAACTTAGTTGCGGGATAAACAACCCATATTTATTTTTCTGAAGTAACGTATAAAATAATTTCGAACACGCTGTAATCTTTACTCACGAATTAAGGAAAATCCTAACCTCAATCAACAATTCTCAAAACCTAAAAACAAACAGCTGATAGCTTAGAGTATGCACATGCGCATTAAATGGATCGTATTCCTACGTTTAGCCGCCATGGATTAGATATTAGTTAGTTTAGGAAGCAAAAGAGGATGTATTAGGTTAAGTTAGGATTAGGATTAGGTTAAGACAGATTAAGTACATTGATGTTTAATATTAAAATGATGTTAGTCTTTAAGGTACCCGTACATTAAGTAGCAGTAAGAAGGCGTAAT